TCACACACGTATATTAACTCCTCCTGATTCAGTCACACTCACCCCATCCAATCATGCAGCACTTACCACACTCGCTCCTCCAACCATGCCATATTCACCCCAACCCTGTGATACTCACGCCCAAAGCATGCTACATTCACCCTATCACATTAACCCCTTAATCCTGTCATACATACCTCCTCTCACTCTGCAACACTCTCTCTTCAAACCATGTCACACACACCCTTCCTCATTCTGTCACACTCACGTCCCAACCATGTCTTATTCACTCTCTTGCTCTTTTCCATTCACACTGCCACATTTAACTCGTTAGTCACCCTATCACCTGCTGAAGGCAATCATTATACACATCGTCATAAAACATAGCTTTGTCAAAAACTTAGAGCCGAAAGGCCACAGGCAGTACACAAACATACACATGCTCAGAGAAACATACATACAGATACAAGGATACTCACAGTCAGAAACACACTTGTAACAGACCACCTGGCACCCCGACTGGGTACCTCCGTTGAAGGATGCTCCTAGCGCTTCCTGAGGGCTCCAAGCACTCCAGCCGACACCATAACCACTGTAGACTCCTTCAGAGAGCAAGACAGGAACAAGCTCTTACAAGAGCTCAGTGATTATAGCAAGGGAATATGCAGAGCATAGCAATCCCTTGTAGCAGATTCCCCCAATAAGAGACAGGACCCAGAATGATGGTGAAGTAGAACTTACTGTAATGGCACATACAGCCTCTTTTATTCACATTCTACAAACATAGTACTGCCCACAGGGTTTTGCAGAACAACCAATCAATACAATACATACACTCAGACACTCCCACACAAAATCCTCCCCTCTGCCTGTGATATAATTACTGAACACAATGGTCTAATGTAATTATCACAGGCAGGAAAATATACCGTTTTACACAATATTCATAACTCTAAAAGTATACATCACATTCACATAAATACATTTTCAGAATCAGCATACTCCAAATACAAACATATGTCAAAATCATCCAAATTGGTCCATTGGTTCAAGAGATAGATCGAAGTCCTTTTGTGACCGTCTGCAAGCATGGCTTAGGTGTTGTTGGAGATAAAATCAGCCTGGGCCCTTTGTGGATGATGGATATTTGCCAACTCATACAGAGCTCTGGAAATTGGAAATGAATAGCAGAGACGTGTTCAATAACCAATTCAAATTGTATTCATACGTCAAGTTATATTTATAACCCATTTTCATAGCAGGATGGGAGGGGGAAAAATGACCATATGGGCGTGACAATGACATTGTTTTTCACAAGTTATAAACAGCTGTTTTTAGTTATAATTCGATGTTACATAATGTATGCATATTGGATAAAACCCAGATGATTACAAATACAGAAATCTTGGACAATTAACAAGGTCATTCCAGAATCCTTATCATGTCATGTCATGTCATGTCGTGTCATGCCATGTCATGTCATGTCATGTCATGCAAATATCTTTTTTCCAGGAACATAACAAAATCATGTTTCAATAACATTTCTGAGAATTGGAGATACAATTCCAAATTTATTCTTGATTCAAATTAACCCTTACATGAACAGTTAGGATATAGAGCAAAATGGATATTCGCATCTACAATTCCCCTCTTAGATCATATAATGATCTACCTTATGGAATATCCATGGGAGGCCTGCGGCAGAGAAACGAAAGGAGGTATATTCAGACGTGCTAATCACGACTTTCCTTATTTCTTCACCTCGATTTCCCCCATTTGCTCTATGCCGTAGGTTTTCCCTTTAAGAGGAGATCGAGCTGTCGATTTTCAGCTTCTGTAATCATCTGTTGTACACATCTTTTAAGTGTACAAGTTAAATATTTCAAACAGCTGACATCTTAACCAATTTTAAACATACTGCACATCATGTTATCTGTAACTTGAGCCTTGGATCAAAACAGGCAAAGTGTATTATTCCTAACAACGGGAATATTATTATTATAATTCACAACGTAAACACATATAATCAAAAATGGGAATAAAATCTATTTCCCCTCTTTGGACCAGGGTCTTGGATTACCAGTCCACCCAGTGAACTTGGGCCAGGTCAAAAATCCCAGTGGCAAAAACTCATAATTGAGAAAAAAAGCACATCTGGGTAAATTCTAAGTGAGGTCCATGACTGTGTAAACATGTCATCCCCTCACGTTGACAGCATTAGTGACTTATAAAACCTGCACTATGTAAGTAAATAGCTCAGGTATCGGGATTGGGAAACACTTCTTGATTAGTTTGAAAAGGCCCACTTACATATTAAATCATAAGATTATTTCTAATCAGTTTGCAATTCTAGCAATAATCCCAATCATGACCTTGCGTCCTATGCCTCCTAATCAAATCCCTATTTTGATGGTCCAGTCATATCCACACTTAATACATTGGAATCCATCCTTGGTACACTTAACATACATCAATGACACACATAGTACATCCATGCCTGAGTAAGCTAACACTTCCTCTCTCTCCAGCTAACTCTACAAAAATAAAAATAAAAATAACAAAATAGTTCAATAGTCCAGCATAGTCCAGAAAAATATTATAAGTCTTTCAAGGAGTATAAAGAATCTTAGACACCATAAACTTTGTTCCATAATCTTAGACACCATAACATAGCTAAGGGTAGCAATATGGCTGACAACAAGACAATGTCAGCTTCCACATAGTTCTTAATTCTTCTGTTTGCTGGATGTTCACCACAATACTCTGTGCAACACCCCAATTGTTGAAAGGGTAATACAGAAATAGCGGCATTAGACAGCACTGCATCTTCAGGACTTTCCAAGTTAGTTTATGTCCTCATAAGTAAGCATCTCAGTTTCTTCGGCCAGCATGGATTTTGACCAAACAGATTTAATTGCAAAAAAGGTAGGTAGGCAGGTAGGTCAGCCAGAGAGATTGGTGTGTAGTCCCAAATATCAGGCAGCACAAATACTCCAGTACGGTCTCTATAATCATACAAACACAAGGATCAGTACGACATCAATAAATTAATTATCTAGGCTAAACTCAAATTAGAGACTAAAGTTAAACTCTTAACTAGTGTAACATGTACGTCTCTCAGTTCTGTTTATGTCCTTTATAAAATTTTAATACATAATTTCCCTTTAAAATGCCTTGTATGGATGAGAGAAGCACTCATTCTATATAAATGCTTGTTGAGTACTAAAACACTAACATATACATATTGGTATAATTCCCAATAAAATGCTGTTCTTAAACTTAAACCTTGATTTGATAATCTCAATTAATTACTTTAATAAAATTTTGTGGACCCTGATAACATCTTTGGAAACCCAAACCTTTTATAGATCCCGATGTGTGTGATCATGTTTTAATACATGTTGGAACCTCCATACAGTTATCCCACTTAAACAATATATTTTTTTTCAGAACAACTAGGAATGAAATAGGAGAAACAAAATAAATTACTATTGTTCTAAAGTGCTTTGTTTAATACAGGTTTAGGAAGAGTTGTCTTGCTGTGTTGCAAGTGGCCTCTGATAAGGAAGGGACAGCAAACTGTAGACATATGTTATATTAAGTTGCTCTCACTTGTCAGGTCTTGGAAACCCACTTAATTTATTGCAGATGCCTCTATTATACCACTTTACAAATTGACTAAGCATACTTATTATCCTATTTTATTTTAGTTATTTCACATTGCACAGCCTATGCAAACAATGTCTAGGTCCCAACTTCAACTTGTACATCCTCTAAGAGCCAGCATTAATACTGTTTTATCTATCAAAACTATATATAAAGTATTAAAAACATGAACCATCTGTGTATTAGGCTGAGGTTGTTGGGTGTGGGTATAGCTTGAAAGTTGTGGTTGGTATTGAGGAACCTGCCAGGGTGGGAGTCCTTGAATGCCAGCTGGGCCAGGAGAACACAAGCACCTTGGGGTGAATCCCTGCTACCCACAATTAAAACAGTGCTGAAGTTACCATCTCTACAAAAGTTAAATCCTTTGATCAAATTCTCTACCTCTGCCTCTAAAACTTTTCTGATTCAATCTATCACCTCCAAACTTTCTTTGTCTCGCCTGCTTAAGATCACAATCCTTTTGTGACCGATACAACATACTTTTCCCTCTTTCTTTATATCCAAAACAACCTGCTGTATCTTTCTCATGAATCTTCCCAAGAAATTCAGTTCAAAGAGGGCCAGTCACAGACCAACAGTTTGACCAAAAGTGAACAAGGAGGAAGCATATTCCATATGAAGGTCGAGATGACCTAACTCACACCCCCTCTTTGTGTACACCTATTTGTGTACCACACAGATATAATATTAATAAGCTTTTGAAGATTTATTGTGTTTGTATAGCACGGTTGTCTAGGGGTGTATACATAAACAGTGAAAGCAGAGTCTTCATATGGGGTTTGCAATACTGACAGTCTGTGTCATAGGTGTAATACAGACATGCGGTTAGGAACTTTTCCATTGTCAGAACACTAATATATTGCAAATATTAAAATCATATTGCAGCTGTTTCCTATACCTGCAAGGATATGGTTTTAATACTTCAATTGAGTTCAAATTGAGTATCAAAAATTCTAACCACAAAAACTAAATTTTATATGCTTATCAAAATGAGTTTAACCCCTTAGCAATTTAATAGGGTGACCTCTTCCCATAGTATGGTTCCTTTTATTATTATTATATTATTTATTCTCTTCTGGGTCTGCAAAATGCTTTCAATATACCAATACAAATATAATACAGTAGTTTAGAATTGCCTCAAAAGAAATTATCTGATCTCTATTAAAAATACCATTTCATCATTTTCCTATAATCAATGAGGCATACTAGATGAATCTTAATCTTGGAAAAAACCTATCCTATACATCCATAATTTTTCTTGTTATATAACCATATAACATAACACATTTTTCTTTTCTTAAATAATGCAATGCACTTTAAAAGTAGCGTTAACTCTAAATACTACCCTAATAATACTGAAACGTGGATCCACGATTTTGAAAAGCAAATGATATATTTCTTCTTTTTCTTTCCCAGGGGCCCCTTTCTTGTTGGCTGATCAGCGTTTTTTTTTTAATCTGTTGTAAAAAGACACTAAAGGCTTGCGTTAATGACATGCAAATATACTTTAAATATTCTTCATACTCATTGTAATATCACACATCATCTTATAGCACAGAAAACATGTAGCAGATATCCAGCAGACATGCCAATACAAAAAGCATATTCATGGACAGGCAATTAACTCAATCCAAAATAAATTAATAAATGTCACACTATGTGACGGACATAATTTGGTTCTCATATTTGTGCATTATGCATGTCTGCAAACAATGCAAGCAGTACTGCTTTAAGATTAGATCAGAGCACCTGGCAACTGGACAGGAAAGTCAAATTTTGGCAGGAAGTCCATTATTGCAACAGAATTTTGGAAATCAGCTAAAATTTACAAAAACAGACTCCCTCTTTTTTTCTTTCTTAAGACTACAACTCATATTGCTCTTGGACAAGTATTCAATAATAAATCAGTTATTTAATAGATTATTACGCTGCCATTTTCATCTGTATCAATACTAAGACAAATTTATTCAAATATAATTTAAAATAACAGCAAAATACCTATTAACATACATGACAATTAAACTGCGCACTTCAAAATGAGTAACCAAAACAAACATTTATGACAATCATCATTCACACAGAATAAACTTCTAACAGCTGTATTCAGAACATATTATTGTAAGGTATACCAATTTTAGTTTGTATTGGATTTATTTAAGATTTCTGGTACCAAAGGGTTTATTTTTTATTTTTTTAAAGAAGGGATCCCGTATGGCTATATAACACGTTTGACTTAAACATTTGTATAACACTTGCATTAACCAGTTGCGACATATGAAACCTGTCAATGGAATTTCTCTCTTATACGCTTATAGAACATTTGGGCCAGATTACACAGACATGGTATCACCTGCATTTGTCAGAACTCTCAAAGACTCAAAATATTTATACTACTCCATGTTAAAGGCATGGCAAAATTTTGACCGGTCAATTTGAGTTTCCAAAAGTCATATCAACACAGGTAAAAACCTTTGTCCATGGTTTTCTGATCCTACATTCCATGACCAAAATTTCAAACCCACTTCTTCACAGTTTGGGTCGCAAGCAATAAAATCTCAGCAACCCCATACAATAATTTACAGAATACATACAATTTAAAGCACATACAACATGTGACGTACTGGAATACTACAAGTTAGCTTACAGCACAATATGAAGCATGTGTTGGAACGCTGAAAATATACATTTTGCTCTCTAATTCATAATCATCTAAATTTACAACATAAGTTCTCTGCAACAAACACTCAGGGCAGAAAGAATGTGGTGTTTGACGTTTTGAATGAAGTGACTTTTTGTCCCAATATGAAAATAAAGGGCTCATCATATAAACAATCATACATCCCACTCTCATGAAAAAGTGTAGTGGGCTTATAGTACTTTTGACCAAGTATAAAAATAAGGGGCTCATTATGCAAACAAACATACATGCAGAGAAATCATGTTAGTTCTAGAATTTGTAGCCCCCCTTAAATAACCTCTAGTTTTTTTCTTATTCATCATCACCTTTACATGTACTTTTTACATTCCCTCAATTAAGACTTTATGCTTAAAATCAGCGTTGCACATCATAAAATAGCACATAAATTAGCAAGCCGGAGTAATGCCAAACATCCATCATACCTTTTAACCCCCCTTTTTTCTTTTTTTTTCTTAATAACCATTTTAGTCTGCAAAATTTACATCTACGTTAAATAAATACCACAGTCCACCAAAGACTGGAAATCTGTTTTACAACCTACCAAAGGCAACCTCTACCAAAGAGGGATCTAGGGACGTCTCCCATATGTAAATGTACATCACAGGACATCACAGCCTACCAAAGGCTTAAAATCATTTTTAACACCTGGCCAAAGGTGAACCTCTTACCAAAGAGGAAATGTGCACAATAACTACTACTACCTACCAAAGGCAATCCTCCAACCCGTGGAGTAATAGAAGTCTACCTAAGACTTAAGACATTATCCTGTGAAAATCCCCTTTAAAAATGTAAATAGTGAAAAACCCCATTAAAACAAGAAATGCAATGTGTGGGAGGATGGCAGAAGCAGGCAAAGGTCCCCAACCCCTTAAGGACACACGACAGAAATACTCCGTCATGATACCCTTAAATTCCAGAAGTTGTGTCCCCAAGGGGCTAAAGACCCTCTTACCTGCTACTCCGTTCCCAATTGCACCCAAAAACTTCTGACACCAGTTTGTTGGAGATAAAATCAGCCTGGGCCCTTTGTGGATGATGGATATTTGCCAACTCATACAGAGCTCTGGAAATTGGAAATGAATAGCAGAGACGTGTTCAATAACCAATTCAAATTGTATTCATACGTCAGTTATATTTATAACCCATTTTCATAGCAGGATGGGAGGGGGGAAAATGACCATATGGGCGTGACAATGACATTGTTTTTCACAAGTTATAAACAGCTGTTTTTAGTTATAATTCGATGTTACATAATGTATGCATATTGGATAAAACCCAGATGATTACAAATACAGAAATCTTGGACAATTAACAAGGTCATTCCAGAATCCTTATCATGTCATGTCATGTCATGTCGTGTCATGCCATGTCATGTCATGTCATGTCATGCAAATATCTTTTTTCCAGGAACATAACAAAATCATGTTTCAATAACATTTCTGAGAATTGGAGATACAATTCCAAATTTATTCTTGATTCAAATTAACCCTTACATGAACAGTTAGGATATAGAGCAAAATGGATATTCGCATCTACAGGTGTGTTAAGCCAATTACCTCCAGCATACAGAAAATAGCTCTATTCACAACAACAGTAAAAACACATAAAAATACATAATTCCTATTATACTTAACAGAACCCCCACATTCAACCTATCCCCAGATAGCTTGGATCTGAGCGCTCACTATATCTCAGATGACACAAATACAGTCAAATCTCCATGGGGTTAAAACATAGCAAGAGCTGATGAGAGACCGAGGAGGGGCAAGCAAGTTCCAACTGGTCTGGCAGTGTGCTTGGGACAACGCCCTGCTGGAACAATAGACAGGAAATGGGGTAGGGGAAGAGACACATCTACCCATGGATTCAAATGGGCAGAAACAGTCTTTTAGAAGCCAATAAGCCAGAGGGGGGCGTGGCTGACCACCGACGGGAGCAGTCGCATGTTGTGATCGCTCCGTATCCTAACAGGCCCTGAGCGACAATTGAGCAGATTTCCCAGCCTTTCCGACCCTGGTAACGAACGGAGAACACTATACCTGCCACCATGGCCCCCTCCAAACAGACCAAGCTTACCGATCCGGTGCGCCAGGGCAGAAAAGAGAAGCCCCGGCAAATCCAAGATGGCGACGGCCACGAGGAGCTCCCGCCGTCACCGGAATGGCACACAGAACTTGATTGTGAACCGCAAGCAGTGGAGGATATGCCTGTCACCAACAAAAGTATACAAACCATGCTACAATCCTTGCAGTCCTCGTTCCGATCGGATCTGCGCCAGCTTACTACTGACTTGAAAAAAGAGATTGCAGAGATAGGTGGCCGCACCAGCCATCTTGAAACTAAAACCGAAGAGCTATGCATGGCCCATAATGATGTAGTCGATAAACTACAAAGGTTAGAGGAAGAACAAGCGGTTCTCAAACATAAATTGGCGGACATAGAAGATCGCTCCCGCCGCAATAACCTGAGATTCAGGGGCATAGCTGACTCCATCTCAAATGAAGCGTTACCCCAATATCTTGTGGCCCTGTGCAAAACGCTGGTCCCGCAAGCCGAGGTCACCGCATGGGAGTTCGACCGCGCTCATCGACTCCCAAGACCGGCCCGCTTCACCGCGGATACCCCCAGGGACGTCATAGCTCGATTTCATTACTACAAAGCGAAGGAGCAACTTCTCAACGCAGCACGGAAACTTTCCAGCCTGCCGGAACCGTACCAACACATCCAAATCTACGCTGACCTATCGGCGACGACGATGGCAAGGAGAAGGGAATTTGTTGACGTGACGAAAACCCTCCGGAATAATAACATCTCTTACCGTTGGGGCTACCCGACAAAATTGCTGGTGTGGTATCGCGAAAGAACTGTGCCAATCTTGGAACCGGAGGTAGGCCTGGCGAAGTTGAAAGAATGGGGCCTACATCACGCAAAACTGGTGCGCCTTCCCGGCTCGCACCTCTCCTTCGAAAATAAGGCCGGAGTGGAGGATGGCCGGAGACCCTCTTCTCTCCCTAGGAACTGATCCTACCCGATCATCTCGAGGGTTGCAGCTTACCTCATCGCCGGACGCTTGAGTATCATTTGTGTCTGCTAATCTGACTGTTATTGCATAGCACTGAGTTATAAGCTGTTAGTTCATAGAGTGATGGTTTCAAAAAAAAAAAAAAAGTAGAGCTTGGTTGGGTCTATACGTTTGGCCGGAGCCGGTCTTCTCGCTCGAGCCCGGGTACCCACCCATAGCCTGCTAGTCTCTAGGTCGTCTAGTGCCGTCTCAGAGCATACGACCCCATTGGCCCCCATCAACGCCTCTGTAGGCAGCGGTTATTAAACCCAGATATGTTAGCTATTAGATGTATGTTTACGAGTCACCCAGACACCCGTCTACGCCCCACCTGGGCACTAGTTCCACTGGCAATCTGGTCCACCACTGATACCGTGGCTTATGGTGGCATGACTGGTAATCTTGGTCATGCTCCGATGGCACCCATGAGGATATCTCTCCTGTATCCGACCTCATGCAAATGCTGTTGATATATGTTTTTGAATGATATGATGTGTGTCACTCTCACCATGAAAATTCGGTAGTATACAAAGTAATGGTTTAAAAAAAAAAAAAAATATATATTAAAAATAAAGTAGAGCGGCCAGCCAAATTCGGCTCACGTGTTTAGCCAGAGCCGGCTCTTTCGCCCAAGTCCGTCCACCCACCCATAGCTTGTAAGTCTCTGAGGCTTAGCTGGTAACTCTTGACACCACGGCCCCACTCGACCTCCATATAAGAGTAGGAAGTGGCGTCTCAGAACATACGAACCCCATTAGCCCCCATTACCGCCTCTGTAAACAGCGGCTATTAAGACCAGATATGTTAGTTCTTGGGTGTATATGTACGAGACTCCCAGGTACCCGTCCACGCCCCTTCTGGGCACTGGGCCCACTGGTAGTTTGGCCCACCACTGCTGCTATGATTTACTATGGCATGACTGGTGACCCTGGTCGCTCTCTGTTATCACTTATGTGGCTATCTCGCCTGCGTCTGACCTCATGCTACTGTTGTTGATATATGTTTATGTTTGATATATTGCTATGTCGATCTCACCTTGTGACACACAAATTATTGCGGGTGTGAGTGGGCTGGACGGGCTACCCCTGACAGTCCGGGGCTTCAGGGCACACGTTGGTAACATCGCCAGTGATCCAGGTCCCCGCGGCGCAGGTTTAGCCAGCATGCCGGGCACTCAACCCCTCTCCCACTATACTCGACACCCTGAATTAAGCTGCCTGGACGCAATAAACAAAACTGGTGCGTCTCCCCAAGTTCGGAAAGGTTGCAGCAATACCAAGGGCCAGTCCATGGTGGTAGTATCCCATGTCCCCCACGCCGGATGTTTGTGTGGCCCCCCACCACACGATTCCGGATCTACGCTCTGCTGGAAGCAGAGGTAATATGTTCAGCTTTCCCCCAGTTTCTCGGGCTTGCCCGATGTCTGACCTCCCTCCCTCCTGTCTCCTATTTCGTCTACCCCCCGTACCGCTCCCATCCCACGACATACACATTCGGCCTCAACAGATACTTTGGACAGTTGGAGCGCAGAACCCTCCAATATTATACCAACAGTTTCCATGCTCAATATCCAACTGAGACAGGGACCTCATCAAGACCGATGGGTTTCCGATGGGACATGGTTTTGCCGAGACAACGTGGCACAACCACTGTACACGCATGCTAAAGAGTACCGATCCCCGTCCCTATGGCCCAACATGAGTTTAAGGTTTTCTCCATGAATGTTAAAGGTCTGAACAGCCCCCACAAACGTAGCCTAGCGATCAGGGACATGCACAAATCTAAGGCGACAGTGATATGCCTGCAAGAAACCCACCT